CTCTTTCAGTACATTGTTTCCTTTATATAATTTCTGATAAAATTCTTGGAAAACATTCAGTTCATCTTTCATTATATTACACCTCTTGCTTGTTCTTTAATTACCCCAATCACATTTTTTAATCTTCTATTTTTACACATTATAGCTAATAATTTTGAGTTTTTATTGCTAAATTTTAAAAAAAATCTCTTTATACGAATCAAATCCTTCTGAACTTTCACTGTCTCTAAGTTTTCCAGTTCCTTTCTCTTTGCCTGAATTTCTGCCAATTTCCTTCTATCTCTTTCTAAAAAAACGCTTTCCAAATTTCTCAATTCTTCCAGTTTTTTCACATTTATCTCCTTAATTTTTGTCAGTTTACAGGATTCCCTTATTGTTATTCTTCTTGAAATTGCTTTCATCGTGTCCCACAACAGGCCTAATTTTGTACTTCCTGCTTTATTTATTGTCCATAATTCTAACCATTCTTTCTTTATATTTTCTATTACCTCTGGGTACTGGAAAATATTAATATTGTATCCATTTTCCATCTTTGAGAGTCTTTACAATCTTTTTTAATCTCAATCTCCATTGACATGAAAGCATGATCTTTATTTTTATAGAATTAATCTCAGTATTAACTATTTTAAGAATTAAATCTTAAAATGTGAATATGAAATCTATTTTGGAATAACTATTATATACTGCTGAAAAATTATATCTTCACTCATCACCCTCCAAATATCTTTCAAGTGGTTATTTTTTACCTTCTTGCTCAATGTTGTTCCGATCATAAAGAGTTGGTTACGCTGGCTAAAACTGATGAAAGTTGTGGTTTAACAGCTGCTGGAGGCCACTTTTTTTCCTATCCCTGTTCTACATACACATTTTCACATGCACACACGTACGCATATGCACGCGCACACACAATCTTTATTTCACCCTAAAACTGCTCATTGTATCATAAATGTTCACAACTATACACAGATAGAAACAAATTTTAGATAGGAGTGGAATTATATAGCATTGTCACTCATGGGTTCTCAAACATTTGTGCATCATCAAATTCTTCCTCTTGCCCTCTCCAGACCAGTTTATCACTGTGTGTTCTCCCCTACACACCTCCAGATCTTTTATAGTGTCAAGAAATCATTTTCAAGGCATAACAGAAACTGATTTGTAAAGACATTCAAGGGCAAAATATTCTATAGATTTTCATTGTTTTTCCAGGTCAAAAGTATGGAATCCTCCATATCAACAATCCCAGTGGGCTAGCTGATTTCACATGGGGAATTTGAGCTTTCATTTTTGTAGATATATTAGTATATAGTACTAATTGCCTAGGCTTGTTCCATATACTGCCATTTCCACTTAGTGCCAAGGGAGGATGATCGCCTCTTGAAAAACACTCATATTTAACAGTACAAATGAATACATCCTGCAAAGTGCAAGTTGCAAACATTTCTAAGAAAAGGAAGCAATTCAGATCTCATTATATTGGGGTGCTTCTGTGGGCTATTTTACATGCATATTTACATTCACATTTAAGGGAAAACATGAACTACAAGATCAGTTGAGTGTTTCAGCCAGCAGTTTCTTTTTACCGGTAACATAGTACACATGGTGAACCACTGCAACATTTTCTTATGAGTTAGAATGAGATTATTTATTTTTGCCATCATTCTAGGTGACTTGTTATATTTGCTCCAGCATGAATATATCCTCCTTGAACACAAGAGGTTGTAATTAGACCTCACAGGTGTCTGTGGTCAATGATACTAATATTTTCTCAGATACTCAAATATAACCCCACTCCCAATATCTGTAGCTGTTGCTACATATTGATGATCCTAAACAAGAACACTAACATTTTCCCTTCATTTGTTCCTAGTCCAGATCTTGGAAATAATGTTTAAAAATTGAAGTATTAGCGTTAAATGTATCAGTTTTTCCTCTTACCCAGAAGAAAAAACACAGATTCACCTATCTTTTAAAAGTAATATTAGCTGGTTTTAAAGTCATCATCATGCTCTATCGATATGTCCACACATGTCGTCTCCAGAGAAGAAGGTATGCATCCACCTCCCAGGAGAACAAGCTGTATAAAAGTGAAGCCGTAGCCAGCTCAGATAATAGGCAGAGTCTCTGGCAACCATAAACCAACAAGATCAGGAAAACTTAGTTTAGAACTAATGATCTACACAAAAACAGTTACATGTCTGCCATTTTTGGATGCTCTTCCTTAGCAGAAAAACACTGCCTGAAAGGACAGTCTTAACAAACACCTCTTCAGTTCTCTCCCAGCTTTGTAGCCCTGCAGGCCAAATAGATCACAGTGGCCAATTCCTATCACCCAAAGTTTCTAGAACAAAACACTTTTAAAGGAGCATAGGCGCTCCTATGGGCATAGTATTCTTGGCAAATTCGGCAGTTTATTTTAAACCGGATGAGTTCATTAGCACATTAATAATATTAATTCTATGAAATAACTATCTTCATGTTTAAATCATAAAAGCAATAAATTAACAGCAATACATTAATATTTAGACCTAATGACCGAAGGTCTGCCTAAGTCTGTGACTAACTTATATGTATTACTTAATTTCATTCAGTGCTGTATACATTCTGCTTCTTCAAAACAATCTAAGCCCATGAAAGCTAAATTCTGAAAACCTCTATACATTCTGCTAAGTAGTATTCTCGAAGGCTTTCAGGGACAGGATCTGATGGTTGTTGTAGGGTTTTTGGTTTGTTTGGCCGTGTTATGGAGGTTTTTCTTCCTAATGTTTCGCCAGCCTCTGCGGCCGGCATTTTCAGAGGTCAGGAGTTAGAACTCTGACTGTGTTCTGAACACACCAAACAGCCCGAAAAATCTGCTAAGCAGCTTCATTTGCACAATTTGTAGGGAGCGGGTTGCTACTCATGGAGAGGAGGAAAGAACCAGGCAAAGCACGCACGCACGCAAAATATTTAAAAATCTGCCCCCAAACCACAAGAAAGTATGTTCTGCCCTCTCTCTAGCTTTAAAAAATTTAGGATGTATTCCTCATACAGTATACTGTCAAGAATACTATCATAGCCAGAAGCTGGCTAGAAACATGTCCTTAAAAATAAGGCTGGGATTCTCAAGACACTGAATGGCAGGCTCAAACCCACTGCGAGTGCTTCCTCAGTATTCCTGCAGAATCACCATGTAACCTAGAGCCCTGAGCACGAATAAGCGCACAGTCTGCAGTGCCCAGTTGCTCCTGACAAACTGTTGCTTAAAGATCCCAGGATTATTGGTCACACCAAGAAAAACGCTTACTGTGTTGGGCTTCGTACTGGGAACCATGATGTTGCAACTGTTGGCTACGCCTGTAACAGCCTTCCCCAGCCTTCAGAGCCTGTTTAAAGAGTTTTTCTGCTTCCACAATAGTTGTTGCCTCCTCTTCTGCCAAGAGAATATAAGCGGTGGCACACCTGTCAGTGCAATGACAAAAGCAACAATCAGTAAAGGAGGAAAAGCAGGTGGAAGGCATTTGCTAGGATGCATCAGGTAAGCACACGGTTCCCGCCTGCCTGGTTACAGCAGGCAATGTCCCTGCCCTCACCCAGTAACCAGTGGTGGATGTGATGGCTCTCTGAAATTATTCACTCAGGTCAGGCTGACTAGAACTACCCCATTCCTTTCAATGCAGAAGAACAATTTTGAATGTGCAAAACAATGCATGAATTGCACACGTGATTAAAATCATTCTCTACCACTAATACTACAGTGGTGCCTCGACTTGCGAACGTCCCGACATACGACCATTTCGCGTTACAACCAGCTCCAGCCACAAATTTTTGCTTCAACTTGCAGCTGGAGCTTCCAGTTACGAACAGAAAAAGGCAGGGGAAAAAGGCGCGGAATTCAAATTGCTAACCGTTGGTAGGCGAAGAGGCTGCTTCTTTGTAGCTCCTTCACCCCAATGGTTAGAGTGAGTACGATCGGAGGAGGCTTCGGACTGCCTGGTAAGGTAAGGTGCTGCTTTCTGCTTTTTAAAAACTGTTCTGGGTGGGTTTTGCCGCGTGGTTTTGGGCTGGGTGGTGGGATTATGTTTCTATCCTGTGACGGGTCTTGCAGGGTTTGTTTGGTTTTTGGTGGGGTTTTTTCCCCCATTTCTGATGGGTCTTGCGGGGTTTCTTTGCTTTCTGCTTTGCTTCTATTTGCATTTCCAATGGGTGTTGCACTGTTTGTTTGCTTTTTTCTTTTCTTTCTTTTTTTGCATTTCTGATGGGTCTTACAGGGTTTGTTTGCTCCCCCCCCTCCTTTGGCTGGAATGGATTAATCGCATTTCCAATGGGTCTTGCAGTGTTTTTTAGTGTGTGTTTCTGGTGATATTTTTCTTTGGCTGGAACGGATTAATTGTATTTCAATGCATTCCTATGGGAAATGGTGCTTCAACTTACGACCATTTCCAGTTACGACCAGAGTTCCAGAACCAATTAAGTTTGTAAGTTGAGGCACCACTGTAGTAGCATCCTGTTCTGATTTAAATTCCAACCTGTCCTTGTGTTTCATTTTCCGTTATGAAACAACCTACTGAAAACTTTGCCAGGTTTCTAGGATTGTAACATCAGGAAGTGGAAAAAGGCAGGTGCCCTGTCTTCACACAACCCTCCCTGTTCATACATAGAAACAGAGAGGAGTGCTCAGTTAGCTTTCTCATTTGCACATTGACTCTCCTGGTATTGATCAGTTATAACTAATGGTCTGGAATGAGGCTTCCTCAACCAGCTGCTGTCCAGATACGCTGGGCACATGGCCATGCTGATTGGATGGGACACTGTGTCTAAACACACTGGAGGGCATTAGCTTGTAGAAAACTCATCTAGGTCAGGCAAAAGGTTTTCAGATAAACACACTTACTCATTTAACTCTAAGGCTTCATGAGCGGCAGAAATCCTGGCCTGGGGGTTTCTCTCTCTCCATGCTTTTTGCATTACTGTTAAATAAATAAAAAAATAGAGTCATCATTTAACAGGTCCTCATTAAGGTCTAGATTATGATACTTTGGGGCATTTTACCAGAAAAAAACTGGCTCATTAATTCCAAAGAGGTAGTTTATATTGTCAGTCCATTTTCTCCCCAAACTTGAAGTCTACTGTTTCAGTATATTCAAAGAAGAGTGAACACAGGTTAGTATCTCCCCTACAGGTAAATGTCAGCAGTGGATGTTGGAGGAAAAACAGAAGACTATCTTAACCATTGCTTGTTCAAGGTGTACTGATGAAAATGACCAAGTGGTTAATGAAGGATAAAACGCTAGGTGCTTCGTCCTCCTGGTGCTCCTTGATGCAATTTGTTGTTATTTGGGGATATCCTAGCCATCCCAACATCCAACCTTTCCTCCAATAAGCTTAATGTGCATTTTAGCCCCACACCATCTATTGAAGTAGGGTAAGCTAAGATGTAACAACCTGGCCTAAACTGAACCTGAATTTCTCAAAGCCACACTCAAGAGTCTTCAGTGATCACATCCCAATTGGCTTTTGTGTTTGGATCACTTCAAATCTAGCCCAAGCAGCACGGGTGGTGCAATCTTCAATATGCCTCCAGGGTGCAATTCAATCAAAAAGTCAGAGTGGTTGATCACTGGGGTGTTCTCCATGCAGTTGGACCCATGTAGGGAAAATGTTACTAATCAGGTGGAAAAGACTAAGTATAGAGTGCAGTTGTATCCATCAACAAAATGTGCAGCTTTATGCAGAAGCAGCTCCCGGATTGCTCTTTCCAAGGAGTGGCAATCCAAGGAACAGCAAGCACCTCTGGAAGCTATGTTGGCTCCCTCTTTTTTAATTCTTTTGCCGACAGTTAAAGACCTACCTCTCCAGGCAGGTTGAGTCATGGCACTAGACTTCTTTCTTATTCTTCACACAGAAGAAGCTACTAATGTGCAGCTTTATGCAGAAGCAGCTCCCGGATTGCTCTTTCCAAGGAGTGGCAATCCAAGGAACAGCAAGCACCTCTGGAAGCTATGTTGGCTCCCTCTTTTTTAATTCTTTTGCCGACAGTTAAAGACCTACCTCTCCAGGCAGGTTGAGTCATGGCACTAGACTTCTTTCTTATTCTTCACACAGAAGAAGCTACTTGGATGAATAGTGAAACATTTCAACCTAATAAAAAAGAAGTGCAGTTGCCATGACTCAGCTTCTAGATAATCTCACCTGGATGACTGGGAAGCTTCACAGATACCGTATTTGCCGGCATACAAGACGACTTTTTGGGCCCAGAAAACATGCCTCCAAGTGGGGGGGGTCGCCTTGTATGCTGAGTGCACTGAATGATGTGGGGCTGCGCTGGCTGGGGAGAAAGGCAGATGGGCAGGCAGGCAGGCAGGCAGTCGGTCTGTATGGAGGGAGAGAAGCACAGCCTGCCATGCCTGAGCAGCCAGAGCCCGCCGCCAGGCTGCCAGCGGCGCACTCGCTCGCCCGCCGCCCACCCGTTTCCCTTTTCCTCCTCCTCCTCCTCAGCCTCTTGCCTTTTTCCTCTCCCTCTTGCTGCCTAGCCAGTGCGCTCGCTCGCCCGCCGCCCACCCATTTCCCTTTTCCTTCTCCTCCTCCTCAGCCTCTTGCCTTTTTCCTCTCCCTCTTGCTGCCTAGCCAGTGCGCTCGCTCGCCCGCCGCCCACCCATTTCCCTTTTCCTTCTCCTCCTCCTCAGCCTCTTGCCTTTTTCCTCTCCCTCTTGCTGCCTAGCCAGTGCGCTCGCGGGAGGGAAGCACAGCCTGCCATGCCTGAGCGGCCAGAGCCTCCCGCCAGGCTGCCTGCTCACCCACCCCCGCCCGTTTCCCTTTTCCTCCTCCTCCTCCTCAGCCTCTTGCCTTTTTCCTCTCCCTCTTGCTGCCTAGCCAGTGCGCTCGCTCGCCCGCCCCCTGCCCATTTCCCTTTTCCTTCTCCTCCTCCTTAGCCTCTTGCCTTATTCCTCTCCCTCTCACTGCCTAGCCAGCGCACTCGCTCGCCCGCCCCCTGCCCGTTTCCCTTTTCCTCCTCCTCCTCAGCTTCTTGCTCTTCCTCACCCTCTCGCTGCCATGTCTGAGCCACCGCCAGGCTGCCCCGCGCTGCTGAGCCAGCCACGCGCTCGCCTGCCCACCATCCCGCGCCGCTGAGCCAGCCATGCGCTCGCCTGCCCGCCATCCCCCCGTTTCCCCTCTTCCTCCTCCTCCTGTTGGGGGGGAGGTCATCTTATACGGCCGGTCGCCTTGTGCACCGGCAAATACGGTATATCTCCAGGCAGGCTTTTAACCACTATGACTGAGTCCCTGGATGCTGCTTTTGGTTTTTTCTTTTTCAAACTATGGTTTGTAAGTTTTCTAAGTGCCATTTAGTTATTAGTACATAAGTAATTGGTGTATTTTTAATTATTATAGCTTATTTAATTGGTTTTGAAAGATCTTATAATCAATTGTGTATTTAGTGTGACTTGCTTTTAGCATTGTGAGCCACTTGGGCTCCTTCACTGGGAGAAAGGTGACCCACAAAACAATACAAACAAACAAACAAACAACTAAATCCACCTTTTCTATCTCTGCAAATCACAGGTGTCTGATGGGGCTAGAAGCACAGAAACAGCTTAGGGGGGGCTGCACTCTGCCCGCCCCCTCCCACAGGGAGTGCTGTCTTCTGCTTGTATGAATACCAGGTTTAAAAAGCTCTAATCATGCCAAGTCATTATCTCCCAATGCCACCTCCCTTACCGGATGGTTGTGGGGGGTGAGGAGGGTGTGCATGAATGGGACATTTGTTCCTTTTTATTTCACAGAGATTCTTCCTGTTTCTCTACACACTCCATCCTTCCTGGCATGAGGAGAGAACAAACATATGCCAAGGGCTGCCTGAGCCTCCTCATACTGTTGTGATCCTCGTGGCTGCTGAAGCAGAGATACGGCATTAGGGCTACTGCCAGCTTCTGCCTGAAATTAGTCATTCACCAGCTGGGAACAAAAAGAAACCAAGCTGCTCCCACATGCCACCATTATTAATAACATGCAATAAGCAGTTACTCTAATATAAAACATCTCAGTGTGACTGCTATCATAAAGAAAAGTTGTTAGGAAAAGGGTAAAAATAAGTTTATCAAGAAACTGAAAACACATTGTATTTTGTACTGTATTACTTCTCTGTGGAAACACTTGGGACACAAGCAATAGAAACTGAGGAGTAATCGGAAATGCCCGGTTTTTAACTTCTTAAAATAGGTTTTGTCCATTCGTATTGAAAAGTTTCCAAAAACACTTAGGAAAATTCTTACTGGCATCTGCAGGTCTTAGATGATCCGTATCACATGTAAAGAAAGTTTGATGATCTTGTGCTGAAAGATTCATATCATAGTATGTCAACGGCTCTCTTCCTGTCACCCATGTATACCTGCAGGGGCACCAAAGGAAGTTTAGTCACAAGCCTGAACAGCTTGCTTATGGTACAAGAAATGGAAGAACTGGACACCTAAGCTGGCCTAAGACATTTTGATGCTTGAGGCAAAGGACAAGACAGCTTCTTCTTTCTCCCAGTTCTCCGCACAGAAGTAAACTAGGGTGGCAACTGAGTCTTACTTCAGTAGCCTCTACAATCACTGTCTTCAACTAACAAGTGGACAGTAATGGACATGCCATGTGGTACAGTTCTGTCTTCCAACAACACAACATCCATCCCTGACAAGGCGCTAAGAAGGTCACAAACACATCCGGCAAGTTCTCCATGCCTTTCTCCAACTTTTTGACACCCACTGGTGTTCTCTTCACTCTAGTCAAGAGAGCCTGCAGTAGAGTACCACTTAATATTTGTTGTGCTAAAAATTCATTTTTTGGAAATGATATTAGTTGGGTTAAGTTGGGGAAAAGCGCAAGGGACAGTTAGCTGTTGATTGTCCTGTTGAATTTGACTGGGATATATTAGAATAGTCCCTGCAAATTAAAATAAAACACAGAAATACACAGAGATAGTTTGAAAGCTATCTGGCATGCTGACTCAACTAAACAGGCAAAATCCTGGATACAGCATACTACACAGAGATAGTTTGAAAGCTATCTGGCTCAACTAAACAGGGAAAATCCTGGATGCAGCATATCTTATTCTTACTTCACTCATGACCCTTGTGCTGGGAGACTTGTTCTCAGTGATCCCTTGTTTGTCCCTGCACTCTTTTCAGTAGAAGCTGACTCTGGGAGCCCCTGCCGTCATGAGAAACTCAGCATCTTCCAGAGGTCACTGTGATGCTTGACCCAGACTATAGAGGGGTCAACACTGTGCAGACTGTAGGACTGTAAGGCATCTGTCCTCCCCCAAAGCTTGGAAAAGTTACTTTTTTGGACTACAACGCTCAGAATGGATACACTGGCTAGATGTTAGGAGCTGTAATATAAAAGGTAACCTTTCCAAACTTTATTTATTTATTGGACTTATATACCGCCCCATAGCGTTACAAGCACTCTCCGGGCAGTTCACAATTTTAATTATACAGGCTACACATTGCCCCCCCAGCAAGCTGGGTACTCATTTTACCGACCTCGAAAGGATGGAAGGCTGAGTCAACCATGAGCCGGCTACCTGGGATTTGAACCCCAGGTCGTGAGCACAGTTTTAGCTGCAGTACAGCGTTTTAACCACTGCACCACGAGGCTCTTTGTCTCTGCTCCTCCAGTGAGATTAGAGTCACCTGAGAAGTGGACCTTTGGTTGCATCATTCTGCAAGAGTTAAAGGTGTTATGTTCTGTCACAAGGACTCTGCTGTACTGAAGCATTCTCTCCGTGTGTGCAAGTTAATGTTTGAAATCATGTGGGTCTGTCTATACGGGTAAAACAGGTCCCCCCCCAGACATTCACCTTATAACACATGAGAACAATGGAATCAAACAATGGGGCTATGATGAAAAGGGCAGGCCAAGAAGCATAATTCGGATCCCCACAGTTCACATGAGTCTGTTCACAAAAGATGAATAACTAAAGAGACCGGTAGAGTTGTTGAGATTGACAGCAGCAATTAACAGGTACTAAAATTTACTTTCTGAAGTAATTATAATGCTTCACTAATAATTCTTTATAACACTTACCGGTTATATTCGGCTCCTCTAAACAGGTTTAGTGGATTTCGCCAAACTTTGCATTCTGTCATGATGAAAACAAAACAGATATATGCTTTAATAAATTGCCTTATAATTGCCCTTAAATATTAATGCCAATATCCTCAAAATAGTCATCCTAGGTGCATTCCAAGCACCTAAACATAAAACAAGAAAATATAAATGTATTTGTATGATGAGATGGGCACCCTCAGGACCCCCAATTTGTACAATATCCTCTGTGCATTAGAAGTATCTCCATCAGTCAATGGATTATACAGACATACAGGAACAAATCTTGTTAACATCCATTACATCAGGCCAGACTCAGAACTCTGAAGACCAAGGTTTTCAGCCAGAGGCTGTTTTCAGCTCTGATGTTTGAGATACTTTAATGAGATGCTTTGATAGTATTGCTTATATGTTTTGGCATCCTTCAGTCTTGAGAGACAATGGTAACGTGCTCTGTATGGAGGACTTGGAACACCATCTAGTGTGGCTGAGAAGGCCAATTCGAGAGTGACAATCCCTTCCACAATTAGGACAAATACAATCTGTCCCCTGTCCAGTTCCCTGATTTTGCTGCTTCCGGGACTGCCTCTTTGCCTCGGCCTGCTGGACAAGGGTCTCTTCAAATTGGGAGAGGCCATGATGTACCACCTGCCTCCAGGCTGAACGCTCCGATGTCAGGGTTTCCCATCTGTTGAAGTCCATTCCTAAGGCCTTCAGATCCCGCTTGCAGATATCCTTGTATCGCAGCTGTGGTCTCCCTCTGGAGCGATTTCCCTGCACTAATTCTCCATATAGGAGATCTTTTGGAATCCGACCATCAGCCATTCTCACAACATGCCCAAGCCAACGTAGCCATTGCTGTTTCAGTAATGTAGACATGCTTAAAAATTCCAGCTCATTCTAGGACTACTCTATTGGGAACTTTGTCCTGCCAGGTGATACCAAAAATACGTCAGAGACAATGCATATGAAACGTGTTCAGCTTCCTCTCCTGCCGTGCACAAAGAGTCCAGGACTCACTACAGTACAGGAGTGTGCTCAGGACACAGGCTCTATAGACCTGGATCTTGGTATATGCAGTCAGCTTCTTATTCAGCCATACTCTCTTTGTGAGTCTTAAGAACATGGTAGCTGCTTTGCCAATGCGTTTATCCAGCTCAACATCTAGGGACAGAGTGTCAGAGATTGTTGAGCTGAGGTACACAAAGTCATGAACAACCTCCAATTCTTGTGTGGAGATGGTAATAGAGGGAGGTGAGTCCACACCCTGGCCCATGACTTGTGTTTTCTTCAGGCTGATTGTTAGTCCAAAGTCTAAACGATTCATGAGTTGTTGGAGGTCTTCAGCAGAGTGGGCAACAATGGCTGCATCAAAGACTTTGATTAACCTAAGCTATTACTCGTCTTCTAATATGACACATAGCCAGAACCAGAGCTTCAGAAAGTTGATTCTTGGAACACAAGTTTCAGAATCCCTCACATAGTTCAGGAGTGATCTTCCTAAGTCACTCTTAGGAAGAGTGGACTCCAATAAGCAAGCAAGCAAACAACAGGATGACCTTGTTAATCACTTCAGGTTCTCAAGTTTACCTCAGTCATAATGCACAATGTATGGGGGAGGGGGGAGACGAAGTTGTGAAAATCACTTGCATCATCCCTCTTACCAGCATGATACTTCAAAATGGATTTTGGCCATTATTGGGTTTTAAGATTTAGAGATATATGTGTCTACAACATGCCTGATTTTTTTTCAGACAAAAATCCTTATGCATTTGCATCATTCTCCTTTAAACACCTTATTTCTTTACCTTTAAAAAAAGTGTTTTGTATCCAGTGGTGCTGTTGCACTAGCAGATACCACTTCTTCTGGGGAAATGTGAGATATTCAATTTTCACCCACTCCCTAAATTGCTAAAAACTGTTCTTGAAGGCATGGGATACTTTGAAAAACCACACTGCCTCAACCCCATTGATCAGTACTTGGATGGAAAGCCATCACGGAATACCAGGATATCCAGGCAGAGCTGGACATAACTTTTTACTCAATTGCCTAGAGAGTCTTGCCTTACCAGTCCTAATTGATGGTGCTGGACTAGATGAGTCAAAGAGTTAATTCAATATAAGAGAGCTTTCTATGCTCCAAGCAATAGATGGGGTGGAGGGAGAGTTTGGTGAAAATTGGGTGCCCCATATGAAGCTACCAGTAAATGCAAGTGATTCACCCAGTGCATTTATAGTATAATAGAATACTTTATCAGGGGGCATAAAATAAATTAAAGGGTGATCTCAAGAAGGATTCTGAAGAGCAGTCAGAGCAGCAGGAGAAAAATAAAAAAAAGGAGAACGGGGGAACTCTTTCTACTCCCATGCTATAGAGGCATACAGCTGGATTAGACATAAGTCTTCAGGAATTGTTTTCATATACCAGTGGTTCCCAACCTTAGGTCCCCAGATGTTCTTGGGGGGAAAGCTGGTGGCGATGGAACCAGAAGTGGTGGTGGAGGAACCGGAAGTGGCACCGGAAGGGGGAATCCCAGGCATGGAGATGCCTCAAGATCCCACTCTGGATACGCCACCAGTGCCAGCTGCTCCAGATCCTGGCTCACTGCCTGTCGAAGCACCAGCACCGTGGGGGGGGTGCGGGGGGGGGGGGGGGGGGAGTAGCGATCCAGTGACTTATGGCTTGTATGCCCGCAGAGAGGGCTCTGCATGCCAGCTGTGACACGCGTGCCATAGGTTTGCCATCGCTGCCCTAGGACATGAGTGCTGAATGACAACAAAGGCTTGTGTAGTCTAGACAGACTGGACATGAAGACAACAGCATATTTCTATTTGTGTTTCTAGCAGCAGCTGGTACCAAGAAAGAGCAACATACAAGTGTAGTGATTTGTAGCTGCAGAGAGCCTCCTTCTTCACTAATGTGTCTGTTGCCTTAAAATTACTTCTTTACGTAAATGGCAAATATTCTTTGGTCTTGAGCCTACTGCCAGAAATAGTAAATATAATTTTAAAGAATAGAAACCTATCCATTTTTTGGCGACAGTGTGAGGTATAATGGAAAGCCTTTGTGGTGGAGCTGATAGACTGTTTCAGGAGATCTTAGTTCACATCCCTGCTTGGCCATGGAAATTCTCTAGCGGGTGGTAAAGCTGAGCTACTCCCTGAACATTGCACATACTTCAAAAAACTCTATTATGGATTCCATAAATTGGAATCAACTTGACAGCACACCTTGCCTGTCATGATGGTAGGTGGATCTACGGAAACCCAGCAGCGGAGTTGTTCTATGTTGCAGGAAGCGCTACTCTCCAAGTTAAATGGCAGGTCCATCCCAGAGGCCCTCAGTAAACTGCAGAAATCGCCACAGCCACAGAAGTACTCCTGCAATGTTCCTCCCAGCTGTAAAGCCTAAAATGAGTCATCTGGTGGCAAGTTGGAAGAACATCCAAAAGATCTAAAGCCCCTTTGTACAGTTGATGTGCCCATGGATTTGGATCAGATCGACATTAACTTGATGCTGGTCCACTTATTTTCTATCTCACTGATGTCAGGGGAAAGAGATTTTTCTTAAAGCAACACACGCACACACACAATATACTAGAAAATGCAGGCCTCAGCTTCATTATCTGACCATAGCAACCCAATGTGGTTTGGGAAGTAGCACTACTTCTACACATACTTAGTTGGGAATACGTTCTATTGAGCCTAGCAGGATTTTCTGCTGAGTAGACATGTGTAGGACTGCATCATAAATTTTGCTTTTTTTATATATTAATACATTACAGCATCTTCCCATGGCCACTGGGTAGATGCTATTTTGTAAAATATATTCTATATCAGGATTAATGAAAAAACAAGCATTCCTCCTTCTTACATGTAGAAAGAAACTGCTATTGCAACATGCACAGGACAAAAAAACAATCTACCTGAAACACTCTGCCGGTTTGAATCTGAATCTCCATTGCTTGTACTTGAGTTGTTGGGAGAGTTGTTGTCCACCCCACCCAGCAGAGGGCGCAAGTGACTCACAGACACTTGTTCAATGAATGACGTACCATACTTGCGAAAATACCACCACTCAAATATCTAAATTGGGATTAAAGAAAAAAAGACACATATATTTATTAATTTTCTTATCTTAAAGCAGGAGCAATTTTTACTCATCACTCGCATTGTTATTTTAGAAATATCCAAAGGACAGTTATCTACTTAGTATGAGGTCTCAGAAATGCTTCCCAACCACCACACTAGCTCAAAGCTAGAGTAACCAATTTACTTACAGGAATCAATAAAAGAGGAAAGAGTGCCAAACATTACGGACAAAAGAGAACTCCACTCCTGTCACTGGCAGGGCTTTTGTGCTTTGCTGAATGCAGAGGGGGGATGAGAAGACACTTGGCAACCCACTTGTTTGGTTTCAAAAGGCAAGCTAATGTTTAAAATAGAGGTCCTATCTGAGGCACCCAGGATCTATTCACAAATCTGGAGAAGATGCCTGATATACAGAGAAGCAAAGGAGTCAAATCCTACTCCCACACCAAACCATTCCTGCCAAGAAGGTCAAAGGGATGAGACAGAGGCCACAGGGACCTCTCATAGGGAAGGATACACACTCAGAATCCCCAAGATTAAAAAAAAAATCCAGTAAGCTAACCAATGAAAAACCATTTGATATGCATGTCTAAAGCCATGCATATCAAACAGCTGACATCTCCAGGTGAGACTCCATTGGGGAATGGGTGGCTCTCCATATGCTACCGAACGATGGCCCCCTATTCCTTGCAACTGGCTACACCAGCTAGGACTCACAGGAGTTGCAGTTCATCAAGATCTATATACTAACCGCATCTCAAAACGCTGGGCTAAAAAAGCCCCATCTCTGCTTAAGATCTTGAAGAGCTCATGCCTTCTTGGAGAATGGAAAAGAAGGGGCTCAAGAGATCAGTAATCTGATTCTAAACAATACATCTTTATATATATTTTTAAAGCCCGGCTTACATATTGATAATGGGAGCAGAGAATTGTCTTATAACATTACCATTTCTGTACTTTTGCTATTAGGAGGATTTGCTGGCCTTAGCTTTCTTCTGTCTGTTGTGATCATAACTGACACTGCACTTTTCTCACAATGCATTAAGTCTTCACCGATCTTCACACTTATCGGACTCTGGGCAGTGGTCATTAAGTAACCTTGCATGGCACCATATCTCATAGCAGATAGGAAACTACAGCGCCACAGTGCTAACAGCAAGAGCACTAATGCAATTGTACCAATGAAAGGCTGACATCAGCTCTAGGGACCTTTGAGCCCAAGGTGGTTTTGCACTATCTCAGGATAGTTCATCGGTCAACAGATGTTCAAGTTAGATCCTGGCTATTTAAAAGATGGGAATGAATTTTATTTATTCTGCAGGGTTAAGTGAAGTGACCTGATTTGCAGTCCCCACACTAAGAGGTAGATTAGAACACTGAAACAGTCCTCCTTGGACAAAAGTATCTCATGATATAGTTCTCAGCTCAAAGTGTATATGTGCACACAGAGACACACACACACAAAAGTTCTTTTGGAAAATGTCTGAAAGTTACAAATGTCTATGTGTGAGGCAACTGTGCACAAAAATTGATACAAATATTCACATATTTTTTTACAAGTTGCAAACTGGTGCAGAATTTGGACAGAACAGTCTCACGACCAAATTACATGGGAAACTAATACAGACTGGGTATCACCAATCCTTAGTCCATACCCAAAAATCATTTTTTAAAAAGCACAGCTGCTTAAGACCAGGCAGTATAACGGAGGGGGGGGAAACGATGTGGGGGGGATCAATGAAATACAATTGCCATACATCTCGATCCAGTGGTAAATCATCTATTAAATTACATTGCTTGAAGATAATAGGGAAAAGGATACCTATACATTATTGTATTTCTGGACTCCAGTTGGAAACTAAATGCTGCAAAGAATAGTTAAGGGAGCTGGTCATGTTTAGTCGGGAGAAGAGAAAAATGACAGCCATCTTCCAGTATCTGAAAGAATGTCATGGTAAAATGGAGTAAACCTGTTTTCTGCTGAAGGCAGGATCTGAAATAATAGGTTAAATTACAGGAAAGGAGATTTCTACTCAATATTAGAAAGAACTCAAGTGTTAGGAAGAACACTGAGAGCTGTTTGACATTGGAATGGACTGCCCACTTAAAGCTCTGTGTTCTTGAATATTGAAGGTATTTAAACAGAGGTTGGACAGCCACCTGCTAGGGATGCTTTAAGATGAGAATCTTCCTGCTTTGGTAGGGGGGGCTGGACGTGATGGCCCCTTAAGTCTCTTCCTGTCCTATTCTTCTATGATTCCATTATTCTAATGTGTGTGTCCCCCTTGCGCCCTAATGCAGCCAACCTATTGACAACTTGAGTGCATCACTTCAACTGCTCTGCATCATAGTTCACTGCACAATAGCTTGGGGATTATTTTGTTCTATAATGTTACACTGGGCATAAAAGAGACATACTTTGGGGGCAAACAAACATATCCCATTGGCAAATAGCAATAGATTTGCTGGATTCTAATTCTTATTTTTATGCTGCTCGCTGGTTTTTGTTTTTTTTTGGTAAAGAAAGGGTATATATATATATGAACTGGTTGAAAATAGGGGATCCTGTTTGTAAGCTACCAGTTGATATTACTACATAATGCATTATAGGCCTAATGCTGTGTGGAGACTGTAATGAAACACCACCTGGGGGATAAAAAAATGTTCTCTTCTGGAGCATGGGCATCAAAAATGTAAAAATTTGTATACATTACAGTTTGAAAATTCTTAGTATCATCATTACCTGCATATAAGAAGCAAGGAACCCAAATGATTAGACACATTGTTTTTTATTAATGGCTCAGGTTATTTTATGGCAAGACTGCAATATTTTAAAAACCTGTTGTTTCACTGTCAGAATTGTTGAAAAAAGAAATTATAGTCCTATAAAAATGTAGGTGTTGCTCTGAAAGCCTCTTTTGTTCACACTTGTAAGAAAGCTTCAATTTCTCTGAAGACTAATCATGTGCCTCAAGGTAAAATCAGTTCAAAAAATACCCAAGGTACATACATTAAGTCAAGTAATGATTTCTCAGTTGCTTGAAAACATCAACAGAGTAACCAAGGTCTCTGAACTGCTTCAGCAAATCTGCTTATTCTACTGAGGTTTATTTCATGAGCAGAAACTTAAGTAGGAAGGACTGAAGACAGTTCAGAGATCCAGCAGAAACATCTTTGGTTTCACATCCCCAGAGATGAAACCTTGTACCAGCATACCTTAAATGCTGGTTCTTCAAATCTCCAGTTCCATCCTGGAACTTCAATTTAATTTTCAGATGCAATGGCTAAAATATTTAGTTTTGGCCTTTTCTATTTCTCCTTCCATCTCATGCTTTTCGGAGTCTAGCTTGATGGAGAGCCCTAAGCACTACAAAACTTATTTTTCCAGGGTATTTTAATGGTCTAGCAAAAGAATTGCCCAATGCTGATGTTGATAAATCTCCAGTTCCATCCTGGAACTTCAATTTAATTTTCAGATGCAATGGCTAAAATATTTAGTTTTGGCCTTTTCTATTTCTCCTTCCATCTCATGCTTTTCAGTGTTTAGCTTGATGGAGAGCCCTGAGCACTTGATGGCTTCTCTCTCTCTTTACAATTCATTTAATACATGGTCTAGCAAAGGAATTGCCCAATGCTGATGCTGATTTTCATTTTTATGTCTTCTGGGCAAATCTTGCAGTGAGGGATTTTTTTTCCTGCCAGCTAAGATTTTGGCATAATTAGCCTTTTTCTCGGTTTGTTGTCCTTAATTACACAGCAAGGTGTTGAACAGCAAAAGCAGGGCTCAATAGGAGTTCAATTTAGATGTCATTTTAAAAGTATGAACCATGAGGAAGAAGAACAGATGCTTCTGCAGACAACAAGAGTGAAAAACAACAGGAAAGAAGTTGCTAGGCTCCCACCATTCAGTCTGTAGTCTTCTGTATGGAAGACATCTATCACATGAACATTCAGGGCTCAGTAGCCTTTCAAAGTAATTTCAATCAGATGTGATGGGTCTTCCCTTCACTATGTAAGTTTACCAGACTATAAGAAGTTTCATGGAATAGATAAAGAGAGTGGACATTGAACAACATTGCTCTGGCATTGCTTGACCAAAATCTTCAAAAGCTGCCATGTATGCAGGATTTTCATAGACTAGGCAAAGTTAAATCAATGGGGATTTAAGGATTCAACTCCTCCATATGTCCCTTTGATTCAAGTGGATCTACCCTGTGATCTACTTTAACACAGTAAATTGCAGCTAAAGTAGGCCCATTTAATCAATTGAACATATGGAGGATTTGACTCACTGAATCTTTCTTGATTCAATGGGCCTACTCTAGTGCAATTTATTATGCTAAGCTACAGGGTTTTGGCCATTAATAACAAGTGAATATAAAGAAGAACCTTGACTTTCTCCTCTAGTATATTACTTTGTATTATTCTGTATCATCCTCCAACATGTAAAACAATTAGACAAACAAACAAACAGGTCTAACTGACTACAATATGTTATGAGGGTGACAGCCCTGAATTCTGCCTTGAGCTCACTGGAAGAAAGGGAGGATGTAAAAGTAACAGAGAAATAAACGTTGTTTAAATGTTTTGGGAAAATACAAATTATGATTTTGAAATCTCTGGTGTTTTCCATTACTGTGTGCTTGTAGGGCAGTTAATTGTGTTCAGTACAACAGGAAATGTATTCTAAGAAATTATGATTTTGAAATCTCTGGTGTTTTTCATTACTGTGTGCTTGTGTAAAACAGGGCAGTTAATTATGTTCAGTACAACAGGAAATGTATTCTAAAAGGGACAGCTGTGTTAGTCTGTTGCAGCAAAAACAATAAAGAGTCTTGCAGTACCATCAAGACGGCCAGTTTTTGTTTGGCATGGAATGAAGCCTCCCCTACGAGGCTCGTATGAGATGGCTGTTCATGCAGCAACCTTTACTAAGCCAGTGTAAGAGGTTTAGCCAATATACCTCTAAACCCAGCATTATCCCCCTCAATTTTTATGACAGTCAGACTGGTGCACCAGGAGGAGCAGAAGAGTGCTGTTCTGGAAGCCCTTTGCACAAAGCATTTTCTTCATTCTTCCCTTTCTTGTGAGAGAAGCCCTTCGTAACAATTCTGCACAAGGCTGCTTCGGCCTCAGCACAAGAACTAAAGCTGGCTCTTAGCACCAGGCGCCAAAGCAGAAACCCTCAGGGCTCGCTGGTACTAGAGACTGCAGCCACTGTCAAACAGAACATAGGACTAGACTGCTAGAAATGTAAATAGCCGTAACAGATAATGACAAGGACACAGAACATAACCTACATCCATTTAGGAAAATGGGAGATCTCAAGTACCCTGGGGGCAAGCTGTATACATTACTGATTAATTATAACAAGGATTTTAATAAGGATAAAAATTTGACAACAATGAAGCCTTTTTGTGATTGAACTGCACATTACCGGATTTGCCTAAGAACCATTTGCTGTAACTTCACTACGATGCAGTCTTAAGTATTTGGCATTTTTGTCTTTTTGCCAGCAATGATGTTTGTAAATGGATATGCTGACATCAACCTTTAGATCTCTAAATAAGGTTTAATCCTCGTCAGTTAATGGTTTTTGTACAATGCACAAAGCGGTAAGAGAAAACAGATTTAAAAAAACAATGGAAACAAATTAGTGAATTTGCCTGCTATGGGGATGGGCTGGTTTGCTCCTAGTTTGTCCAGCAGTTGGACGAAGTAATTGCTATAGCAAACTAGGCTACCCCTTCCCAAGTGTTCCTGCTGGCATCTTTCTGAGTCCCTGCCAGGGACTACTCTTGTTTAAGTACAGGTAGGATCGCTCAGACAGTTTAGCTACTTAATGATACTGGGAAACTGGGAAATAAAAAATTCCTTCCTCTATCCCTCCATGGAGGGGCAAAGGCAGGAAGCTTGGGTGTTTTTTCTTAAGCCTTTTTTAAATGATCCTTTTACAGACAGGGGGAGCAGGAAGGGGGATTTTTCTCTCTTCTCTCTTATGGGAACTGGGCCTACTAAGGTTGTTCGAGGTGTTTATGCCATATGGATACAGGGATCACACCAAATGGCATACCAAACCTACCACCGATCTTATGTGACCCCATTTATCCCCTACTAGTCTGCTCTAAATGAGTTCTATAGCTCAGCCAAAAGCTTGTTGAATAAAAGTTAAATTATTACTGCATGTTAAATAAATCACTTCCCAATTTGTTCTATATCTGAATTAATTAATTAATTAATTAATTAATTAATTAATCAATCAATCAATCAATCAATTAATTAATTGTGTAACAACCACATTTTGAAGCAAAGTCTCCACAAAGCAATCTATAAGATAAAATTTTAAAACAACAAAATTTGTTGCCACTTATAGGATCTGATCACTAAAACCATGTGACAGAAGTGTCAAAAGGTGCTGCTTTGGGAATAATCCGAAGGTGCATGATGTACTAACGATGATAATGATAATCAAAGATGGTCTTGATGGCTCCTCTCTCTCTTTACAATTCATTTAATACATTTCAATGTCAGTGAAGCTCAGCAGTGACACCATCATTGGGAATGGGACCCTCCTGCTCATCAAGCTAAGAGAGAGGAGGGGCAAACTGCGAATCCTCTATTTTCCTGGATATCATTTTCTCAAATACTTTGTGCAAACAGAAATGGTAGCACCTTTAGAGCAGTGGCCCCTCTGCTGGCCATGGGGTCAGAGTACACGTGCTGCCTTCCACAACTGTATCACGTACAGCAGGAAGGTTAAGGGAGGAGGAAGATGAAAGATACTGTAAAAAGAAGGGAGAAGAAGCAGGGGGAAGTCTGAGGGGAGATCCTTGAGGCCTCAGAGCAATCAAAATGCCAAATAAGAAGGGTAATATTTCAGCAGGGTTTGGTTGAGCTAAACTCTGCCTTTCAGTACGTATTGCTCTGCCCTGGGAGCGAATGTATAAATTAACATGAAACAGAGAAACCTGCATTAATGCAGATACTAGCTTTTTGACACTTTGAAAAGGTTAGGAAATATGCTAAAAAACTAAAAAACAAAGATACAGCACCCAACAGAATTCTTCACAATGTACCAAGAATTATCTGTGAAGATTCTCAGTCATCCAGGTGAGGTTATCTGCAAGTTGAGTTATGGCACCTGGATTTCTTTATTATTAGGTTGAAATGCTGGACCAAGAAGATAGCTTAAATTCACATCTTTCCTTCTTGGATTTATAGTGTATGTTCATGGTTTTAACTGTTTTTAAACTTGTAATGCCTCCCAAAGTAGTCTAGATGGGTGGGGTAAAAATTCAATAAAATAAATAAATAAAAACCACTGGTTTGAGAGAGGGATCAGGGAGGCCATACATGAGCATATAGAAAATCCTTCACTCAACAGGGGTGGAGGCATTAGCATCAATCTGTCTCCTATTTATCATGCTGCCCTTTCATCAGTCCCCTGAAAGATCAGGACCACATACACCAGAAAGACCACTGTTAATAACTGTTAATGACTCATGACCATTCATAAGCCTATTCAGACCAGGGGGAGTGAACTCTCCTCAGACTGAAGAAGCTAGTTGGATGAGTAGTGAAATGTTTCAACCTAATAAGAAAGAAGTCCAGTTGCCATGACTCAATTTCCAAATGTACCAGAATATTACCCAATTGGAAATGCAAAACAGTACACAACCCAAGAGAAAATCATGCCATTGCTGATCTAATCAAAGGAATATAAATACTAACATTGATCATCATGTAAAATGTGGAAAATAATATCATGCTAATCAGATCATTTTATATCTTTCCTTTTTAATATGTATACAGAACATTCAGTTACCAAAGCAAGCATCTACAAAGCAGGTTGCATTATATTAAATTAACAGTTCTTAGTGGGAGATACAAAATACTCACCCTATTAAGAAGCAATGCAATCTGTGCACATGGGCTTTGAATGCCAAGATTAAATGAACTAGATCAAAATCAAAATATACACTGCAATCTCATATTCACTCACTTGGGAGTAAGTTTTAATTAATTCAGTAGCTGAAATCCTGTTGCACAGCTGTGTGTGTGTGCAACAGGCTATTGTTAGCAGCAGTGGCAAATCCCCAGTGGCGAATCTGGGGTGCATATGACTTCACTGCATTGTGTATGAATCACACTGGTAGATGTGTATAGGATTCCACTGTTATTCTAGTACACATTCAAATAAAATTTAATTTATGCACTGATTTGGGATTTTCCTTCATAAAAGGCACAGCACGCAACTGATTTTATTCATAAACTGGTGTGTGCGTGTGCGTGCGTGCATGTGAAGCACATGGGTGCGAAGAGTTGGAAAACAGAAGACATATGTAAATATTGTAGGTACAGAATCTACACAACAGTACCAAATGTCCCAAATACTACAGAAATAAAGCTAATAATATATAAAAGTATAGCCTGCACTTACCAAAATAAGCCCTGAGATTAATGAGGAAGTACCTGTGAGGGCAACGTAGAACTTGGGCGTCAATGTGTTCAAAAACATGCTCACTGAAAGATTAAGAAGAAGAAAATCATTAAATCAATCTGTTTTCTCACATTTTCTTTCCTCACCATTTGCAAGCCCATATAGAGGTAAATAACTTTCTTTTCAAAACTCTGTTTTCTGTCCTTCATGTCCCTCTTCTGCTTGGACAAAAAGTATAGGATTAATCAATAGGTTTACTATCAATGGTGAGCAGCTCCATGTTTTCCATCACTCAAACAAAGACAGAAATTTCATTATAAGGAAATATCCCCAGATGGATCACCCATGTGATGCAAACTAACACGAAATAGATGTCAGCAACCAGTAGCCTATAATATAAATCCATCCAATGGAAGGTCTCAGTAGCAGTAAACCCCTCCACCCTTTTCAATAAATTAATCAATGATGGCAACTTGCAAACTTTACTATGACGTTCGACATGTAGGTGATCCCTCTTCCACAGAGTACTGCCATTGTCACAACATTTAATTCTGATCTGGTCCACCATGAAATCTTCTTGGTAACCTGGTGCTTCAGAATAGTTTGATTTGCATCAGGACCATACTTCAAGGGTAAGCAATCGATGGGATCTACTTCTGCTTCATTGACTACACAAAAGCCTTTGACTGTGTGGACCACAACAAACTACGGCAAGTTCCTAAAGAAATGGGAGTGCCTGACCACCTTACCTATCTCCTGAGAAATCTATATGTGGGCCAGGAAGCAACAGTTAGAACTGGATATGGAACAATTGATTGGTTCAAAATTGGGAAAGGAGTACAACAAGGCTGTATATTGTCCCCCTGCTTATTTAACTTATATGCAGAATACATCATGCGAAAGGCTGGACTGGATGAATACCAGGAAATGGGAAACCCATTGCTCAGAGGTAAGCACCAACTGGATTCATATATACTGTTAACGACCCTCCACTATGTATATATGCCACTTGCTGAAGCTGCTGTTAAGCAGAGCAGTACTACAGGCAGTTCATGCTTGCTCAGGGGGTGCTCGCCTCCAAGTTTTAAAGAAATAAAATCCCACATCCCCATCCACAAGCCCTTCCTTATTGCCATAATTTATAGTCACAATTTTTTAAAAAAAGTCTTTTGGAAATAACAAAAAAGTTACTTTTAGTTACTTGTTAACAGAACACTGCAAGCCATTGGCCTAGATCACCTCAGCTCTCAGAAGAGAGCGCGAAGAAGCACTGAGTCATGTAATAGCCTTCCTCCCATTCCCCCTTGTTAAATAACTGCTGTAATTGGAAAAAGAAAATAATTGTGAGCAACAAGTTATTTGTAAATACCTCTGGGTTTGGAAATATGAATGTGCAATATCATGGGGAGGAGGTACATTTGAGAAAGATGTTGAAAGAACCTTGTATGTTTTAAAAACCATGTGCTGCAAGGAAACATAAATGTTAAGGCTTTTAATATTTGGTAGCAGAGGACCATAGAAATTTCAAAGGGCTCGTTCTGTAGAAACAGGAGATGAGAGCAAGTTGCCAGAAGCCACCAAGAAAGTCCTGGACAGAAATAGGGTTGGACTTGGAACAGGTAATATTTCACCCATTAACACAGTGGCTGTGCATCACTGTATTTGGACACAAATCAGTAGGGCTAGTGCTACCGTTAAATTAGGGATGTCCTCTAATTTAAAGTGTCAAACTGGGGCACAGAAGGGATATTCGTACCTTACCAGATAGGGAGCAGTTCAAAAAGCCCCTAGTCATACTCATGTCAATTTTGGTGCCCCCTACAAATAACTTGTACATCTGTTTCTGAGTTGGGGATGGTGGTAAAAATGCTGATTATTTGAACAAAAATATTTGGCATTACCTTCTGCAGAAAAGGAAGGAAACTGAACGAGATTGACAGCTAAAGCTCCAATAAAAGAAAAAGAAATTCCAATCAGGGAGACCCAGGAGAGCTCAGATCAACTTCACCAGACTCTATTTATAACACAAGACATTCTGTCGATCAGTCATTATGCATCCCGGCATGGCAAAGGGTTGTGGCAGTGGGTATAGCACTTCTTAGACTGGCTGAATTCTAGGCTTCTAGCTACTCAGATTCCTCATTACACTTAAGACTGCAAGTATGTGTCTGTGAAAGTGGGATGCATGACTAACTGACCTGCGTTTGGGTAGGTCAAAGCAAATTTTACTTTTTACTGCCTGCTACTGGACTTTAGTTGTAGAACCATCAGACAATGATGGGGCAGAGCTGGGCAGCTAGGCTACACACCGAAGAGACAAACTGGTCTACCACATTTCCAAAGCTGCTGCTGCAGCATTGTATCTCCCATCCCAAATCGCAGCCTTTTATTTTCCACACATTCAGTTCCTTTTCTTCTGACTTCAAAACATACAAATATTTTCAAATATTTTTTTAAAACCTAGAACAAATTGGTTCAGACCACCTACAAATCAACCCCAGGCAGGTCACTCCCAATTTCAGCCGTACGTATTTGGATACAAATCAGATCGGGTAGTATTTGCAAACCCCTGCTTTAAATCCAAGCATAGTACATTCTGTATGAAATCTTAACACATTTTTCACCCAGTTCAAAGCAAGACCTTAGAGAGTATAGCAAAGTAAAGGCTTTCAGCTTCTGTCTCTGCTATCCATCTAGGCAGCCTTCATCTACGTTCTGGAACTTAAGGTTGAGACACTCAGCAAAAGCCTAACATTGACTGACAAATGCGGTTGGCATTCTTGGGCTTGTATACATATTCAAGCCAAAAAAGTAATGCAAAAATCTTGCTCTGCTTGTCTCCTAAGCACTATTATGTATTAGAGTGTCAACAAAACCTAGCAGGGAACCACAGAAGATCTCACATAGTTATTTCCCTCTCAGCTGCTATGCAGTAGCCAAGCAGCTTATGGGGTGTTACTGTCAGATTAAAGCACAAACAGCCAAAGTCAGTTTTGATGCATAAACACTTTTATTACTGGGTCTGACTGTTTTGAGATGGCCTTGGAGCACAAATAATCTCTTTGCAAGTAAAATAAAGGGTGCTAAAAATCTACTGTATCATTTCTCCCTGTGCTAGTAGAAACAATTTGAACTGGAAAATGGTTTCCTCTGGGCTTTTAAACAACTGCTCTCACCTGCTCCATGACTGAGTACTGCTGAGATACTGTACAATTTCACAGAGGTTCCAGGCAGCTCTAGCGTTTACTTCTTGCTCCATTCTGTTGCCTCCATTCTTGCAGCACCCCACAATAGACCACTGTGACTGGCTACATACCACAGTCCGCAACCTGATACCATTGGTGGACATGAAAATATGCAGCAAAATCAGCACTGGATTCTGTGCATGTCCTAAGACAAAACACATTTACATTAATTCTCTGGTAGTGCTCATTTTCATCCTGATTCTGGAGCAGATAGTGTGTGTTTTAAAGGTCTCACGAACAGCTCATCTTCATAGAACATTCATAATTCTTCCTCTTCTCTAGAGAGGTCAAGTTGATGAACATGGCTCTCCCTATTTTATTCTCCTGACAACTTTACTAGGCTAAGAGCCTATGACTGGCCCAACAGTATTCAGTGAGCTTCATGGGAAAAGGCAAGCTGAATCTGGATCTCTCCAGATTCAGCTTTAAGCATCACAAAACATTGGATTTCAACAGACAAAACCATCTTAGTTATACCTGCTGGCTCAACACAATCTGAGCAAATCGCAGGAACAAACTGATGCAAGTTAAGAAGTCAATGTAATTGCACTAAATTCTTAGGCATCCTTCAGTCTCCAGAGACTATGGTAACATGCTCTGTATGGAGGACTTGGAACAGCGTTCTAGTGTAGCTGAGAAGGCCAATTCGAGAGTGACAATCCCTTCCACACTGAGGACAAATACAATCTGT